GAGACCCTTCTCCTCCTGGGGCCTCGGGCGGCTCCGGCCGCCCCCCCGACGGGCCTCGGCCTCTCGCCACCCTCCCGCCCGGGCCGTGCGGGGCTCCCGCCTCCCTCCCCGGGCTCCCCCGGGCTCGGTCCCGCTGCGGGGTTTGGGGGATCGTTTCTTGCCTCTGCGGTCCTGGGGGCTGCTCGTCCGGGCTGGTGGCATCGGGGCCTCCAGGGGCTGAGGGTGCTGGCAAGGCCAGCCTGGTGCCTGGCCTGTGTGGTTTTGGCTGATATTAGCTAAAAAATGACTTAAAGAAGCACTCTTCCGAGTCCCGAAGAGGACTTCAGCACCTAGAAACTTTTGGGGGGGTTGGTGTGTTTGTTTGTTTGTTTTCCTTTATATAATAGCAGGTATTACTATTTCAGATGAGTGGGTTGGTTTTTTTTGGTCCAAATGTCCTGAAAACAAACGTTTCTGTGAGGCTGAGCTTTAGTAGTGTAGTCGAGTTTCTTCTGCCCTGAAGCAGAAGCAAAGGCTTGAGTCCAGCTCCGGGTTGGTCTCCCAGAGGGTTTTGTTTAGCACTTGCAGGAAAAAGTGACCACAGGGTGAGGTGGGACAGTTTTCAGCTCTGCCAAGCTTCATGTGATGGGTTTGTGCCAACCTGTGCGTGAGAAACCTCTAAGCAAAATGTGAAGTGCTGCACAAGGAAACCTTCTCCTTGGTGTTGGGTCAGCGCTGCAGCCGGGCAGGGGGGCTGTTGGGATGTGTGGTGATTCAGGGCAGGGGTTTCTTCAGGCTACAGAAAATCAAACTTCCTCGTAACTGGGCCCGGTAGGTTTAAAACTCTGAGCTTTAACAAGCTCCAAAGTTTGCCTTTGTGATGGTGAAGCTACAGCAGTAGCTATATTGGACTTGGCTAGTTAAGCTTTACTGATTTGCTATATTTGTTTGAAGCCAGGGTGGGGCTTTTCCACCCATGACTGGATGAAACACTAGGTATTGATCAGCTACTTTATCTCATCTTACTGACAACTCAGTATCAGCCCTGGCCGGAGAGGCATTGCCTAGCTGGGAATGTGCTTAAGAAGTGTCTGGGAAATAAGGTTGGTTCTGTTAGCCTGGCAGGAAGGAGCTAAAAAATGTTATAGTAGTTGAACACTTTCTATTGTAAGAACCTAGCTTTAGTGGTTTCTCAAGTATTCAAGCAGGGTCTTCTCAAGTGGCTTTTTGGGGGTTTCTGACCTTGTGGGCTGCTATTTTTGTTTCCAGGCACCTCCCTCAGGGTGAACATTTTTGGAAGGCAACAACAAAAAAACACAACCCCAAACCAACAAAGACAGTGAGCAAAATGAGCAACTTTTAAGTTGTGATTGTGTAACATTGTTCTAAGCAATCTCCCTCCTCTTTACCTGTATTTTTGCAGCTAAAATTCCCACCAGGCCTATGGAGCCACAAGGGATTGTCAAAGCCTTTCCCAAGAGGAAGAGAGTGAAGGGTAACTCAGATAAAAGTGTCTCTCCAAAGATCCCAAAAGAGGAAGGAACAGAAGTACTTGAGGGTAAGTCCTGTGTGCCTGTGACATAGAATATAGTACTTCTACCTCTGCTTATTAAGGGGACGTGCTGTTCTCCCAAAGGCTGGAAAGTCTGGGTCCAAGGTCTGTGAAGTTTCTATAGTGGTCGTGGCCAGGTTGCTTTGATGTGTCCAGCTGGCTCCCCCCAAAGACTGCCTGCCACTGTTGGTGCCATCAGCTCCTATGTGGGATATGTACCCCGGCTGGTTTGGGGTGCTGTTTCTCCTGTCACTGAGCACCTGTCCCTGTGTTCTCCTCAGCAGAGTGGCTGAAACCAGTCACTGCCTTCGTGCTGCAAGCGGGCATTGGCCAGGCCAGGGCAGAGATCTTCCACAAGCAGATTGTCCAGAATGGAGGTGTTGTACACTACCAGCTCTCCTCAGAGGTGACACACGTCATTGTGGCTGAAGACATGGACTGTGACCGGGCCTTTCGGCTCCTTAAATTAGCCAAGCTGCCTTCAGGGCTGCAGCTGGTGAAGGCATCCTGGCTGAGTGCTTGTATTAGAGACCAGAAGCTGCTGAGTACCTCTGGCTACCATGTCTTTATCCCTCACAGGTAAGCAAATGCTGTTCTGCCCTTCCTCCCTACAACGCTTCTATCCTAAGCTGAACAGCACTAAAATTGGACCTCTGCTCAAAATCTTAGACGGCAGCTCCTTGCAGCTCCTGGGCATGTGACTCAAAGTCCCTTTTCCCCATTCAGACTGTGAAATTTTGTGACTTTTTGAGCAGTTCCTATTCTGTGTGGTAGCAAAACATGGAATACAGCCCAGCAGTGCTAAAAGGAGTCCTGTCACTTTCTGCCGGTGCTAAAAGGCACCTTTTCCTAATCCATCAGTGATAACAAGATTTCATCCAAAAGTGTTGAGGATTAAATGCTGTTTGTTACTTATTGCAGATGAAAAATAGAGAGAGAATTGACAACTAGGCACAAAGGGAAATAAGGAATGGAGCAGCAGGCAGCCACAGGTTATGATAAAAATGTTTTGGAGAAAAAGTAAGACTGAGGTAGATAGAATAGAAGCTGCAAGTCAGCAAGGTGGGTGGAAATTGGGGAACTGAGCCAAAACCAGAGTAATTGATAGGCTCCATCCCAAAACATGTAGAAGGATTTCTCAGTCTCTCTGAGAGCAGAGAAGTTCTTTTTCTCCTATACTAAAACATCTGATCCATGGCAGGTACCTGGAGGAGGAAGAAGTGCAAAAAGAGCAGCAGCAGCCTGTCCTGGGCACTGAAGAGATCCAGCCCCCAGCAGAGGACAGAGCAGTGAAATCAAATACTGAAGCACAGGTTGGGGATTCCTCAAAGCAAGTCCTGCACACCCTTGGACAGCAGT